GTCGTAACATTGCTTGCGACCAGGCCCTCACAATGCGGGCATGTGTACTCATGCTTTTGCTTTTCTTTGACTTTTCCAGCCCTGACGCAAAACCGGTTGCCGCACACTGTCCGGTGATTAATTTGTCCCGTCGTAACATTGCTTGTGACCAGGCCCCCGCAATGCGGGCATGTGTACTCATGCTGTTTCTTTGCTTGGACTTTTCCGTCACTGACGTAGAACTGGCTGCCGCACACTGCTCGGTGATCCACTTGTCCATTGGCTATCGTGCTCTCCACGGTCGCCTTACAGTGCGGGCATATGTACTGGCATGTCTTGGTGCCTTGGCTAGCGAGAGTCATGCTGCCTTGGCCATCGAGACCCTCTGGCAGTTTCCCACGCTTCCTCACCGGTTCCTCCCTTGCCTGTTCTGGCCCTGCGCGCTTACGTTTGATTTCTGCTAAGACCTCCGCGATGATGCGTTCATGCTTGCGCTGCTCTACTTTGGCACGCGTGGCGGCCAGGCGGGCCACGGCTTTTGCCGCCGTGCCCCGTGGAAGCTTTGGCGGTTGGCTTTCCTGGCTTCTGAACTGGGTCTCGGGGCCCCGCGCTGCAAAACATGCGTTCGCCTTTTGCGTCGTGCCTCGCGGGCGCGTTGCGTGCCCATGGGCCTGGCTCGCGCAAGCCAAGCATACTCGGGATCCACCTCGCGCATTCTGCTTCATCGCGCCGGTACTTGGCGACAAATGCATCTTCTTGCTTCCACGTGTAGCAGGCCATGCATTGCCAAGGCTGCATCATCGCCCCGTGACGTTGGAGACATTCTTTGTATATTCTTGCCGCGTCCATGCGTTTCCATCGCCCGAGCGTGTATCCGGACGCAGGCTTCTGCTCTTTGCACTCGGCACATTGCCGTTCTTCGCGGTACTTGGCCCGCAACGCCGCCCAATCCATGGTGTCTCCTCTCCAGAAGCGAAGCAGCAGGTCTCGCCCCAGCTTCGCTCCTCTTTGGAACGGCGCCGCGTCGAAGGGGCGGTAAATAAACAAACCTTGCCGGTCCCGGACACGTGTAATCGCAATGTATACTGTCAAGGGGTCTCCGGCTTCGCCGATCTGCAGGTCTGCGACCACTCCCTCCGGACAAGTCTGTCCTTGAGCGGCGTGGGCAGTCGTCGCAAAGGCGGGTGCCAGTGGGAATTGCTTGCGTGTCACGCGTAGCACCGGGCGCCGCCGCCCTTTGTCCAAGTACCATGGTTTCTTTTGCGCAGGTACTGGATACACATTGTCTTCCAGAACCCCCTCCACGCGCCAAGTGTCTTTGGTGTGAAATCGGACCATAATACAACCAGGCAATTCGTTCCAAATCTTTGTTTTTTCTTGGCTCTTTATAGGTCTGAAGCTTCCTTGGCCAGGCCCAACCAACCACTTCCCCGGACACCCGCGGAGAATGCCGCGGCGACGATCTAAGTGGTCCGTGGCCGTCACCGGCAGTCCAACGCAAAGGGGTAACACCCCATACAACGACCCACAGTCCTGGTCATGTCTTTGCAGCCACGCCAACTTTTCTTTGGCCAAGTCGGGTTTCTCGCGTAGCGCCGCGCTGGAAATTCAGTCCTTTGCGATGGCGTAGTGCAGTTGCTGCCCGGCGGCAGCAGCCCAATCTTTCGCACGCAGTTTGTTCACGTGATATTTTATTGTGTTGGTTGCGAAAATAGCTTTCGCACGCCCAAAGTCGTGCGATGGTCGAGCCCCCGCATCTACTACCCGCACCTTGGACGCACGCTCCCGCTTACATGCACCGCACTCTCCCTCGCGAATTTTCGCCGGCGTTGCCTTTCCTGTCATCAAGGCGTGGCAGGTTGCGCAGCCACAATCTAGTCCCTGTCCATTCCAACTCCCTGGCACATCCGTCTCAGCTCCATGCAGGAAAGCGTGGTTTGTCGGGGACAATGTCCCGTTGCGAATCTCGTTCTGAAGTGTCTGCAACCACACGTCGTGCGTCCGCTCGCATTCAACGAGTTCCGTCACGCCGTGGAGCCCTTGTGGCCGAGGCCAAGCAGATCCAGAGCGTTTTGCCGTGGCTCCGCTGCCTACTCCTGCACTGCAGCCTTGCCTGCGTCAGGCGGGAGCCTTGAGAGAGCCTCTGGAACGTGCAGCCTGTGGACTGCAGCCTTCTGGAACCTGCCACCTCGGCCTGCGCCTCTTTTCTTTAGCGTCCCGAAGGCAACGCGCCAGGCGCCTTCCCGGCACCTTCAAACCCTTCCCGGCACCTTTGGCTTAGGCCCCAAGCGCACGTTTGGCCTACTCCTGCACCGCAGCCTTTGCGTCAGGCGGGAGTCTGGGGAGGGAGCCTCTGGAACGTGCAGCCCATGCGCTGCAGCCTTAGAACTGAGCCTCTGGAACCTGCCACCTCGGCCTGCACCTCTTTTCTTTAGGGTCCCGAAGGCAACGTCCAGGCGCCTTCAAAAGCTTCCCGGCGCCTTTGGCCTACTCCTGCACCGCAGCATTGCCTGCGTCAGGCGGGAGCGTGGGGAGGGAGCCTCTGGAACGTGCAGCCCGTGCACTGCAGCCTTAGAACCGAGCCTCTGGAACCTGCCACCTAGGCCTGCACCTCTTTTCTTTAGGATTCCGAAGGCAACGCGCCAGGCGACGTCAAGCATTTTAGCTTCAAACGCTTCCGGGAGCCTTGGGAGGGAGCCTCTGGGACCCACAGTCCCCTGAGGCCATTTGGTCGCTCCTTTATATAAGCAGTTGTTCTGTCTTAGGTCCACGACCACCACCATTGGTGTCCACAACAGAACTATGTCCAACTTCGGTTGTTGCCTTCCTAGCCATGCTGCCTTGTCTCACAAAAAAGGGGTCGGCGGCACCAGGGCGGAGCCCTTACAATAAACTTCTGACCACCGCAAATCCCGCCCGAGTGCCCGTGTCGTCCTTGCTGCCCATCCTGCATCAGCCAAAATTTAGAGATCTGACGAAAGTGCACTACACCACGGCGCACAGGCGTCAGTAATCAACTTAATCCAAGAGATACCGCCACATAGGCTACTAGCAACACCAGCAAGTACGTGCTGAGGGTGTAAACAAGCACCCAAATTGCCCCAAAATCACCGTGGTGCGTGACGGCGATGGCCTTCCAGACTTGTCCGCCCCGGCGATCTTTCCACTGACCTCCCCGCGGATGCACGGCCGCGGTGAGGCGCATAGATTCTCCACCATGTTCCCAGCATGAAAACATGCCGCACAGTGAGAGACATCTGGAATGCACCTTCTGAACAGACTTTACAAGGTTTGTTTGCTTGAGTTGCATCCATCTCTGCATTTCTTGCCATCAACCGACAAACAAACACCCGCTGCTGACCCACTGCTTTCGACCTCCATGATGAGGGTGTAGTACTCCTTGGGGTCACCGTTCAGTTCGTAGTCTTTGCACTTGTCATAGGGCCCCTCGACCTGGCGTTCGAGCCCTTCGCCGCTTCGCCCGACGCCAGCCGAGTCGCACCCAGCGAGTCGGCCTCAAAGGGCTTGATTTGCCCCTTCTTCCTAGCACCCAAAGCAATGTCTCCATCTGACAGTAGAGACGGCTGAAAAAAGAAACAAATAGAACATCGAATATCATCCAATCTGTCCTGCCCACGCCCACATAGGGCACTCGTTCGGTGATGAGGATGTAGTTGGTGGTTTCGTTGCTGATGTCTCCATAATAGAACTTTGGAGTTGGAGTCGGCAACTTGGTCTCCACCAACCTGGAGAAAGTTTGAAAGCTTTTTTCAAGCTTCTTTCAGAAGGCTATGATACGCTGCGTAGAATCTAGATTGCTTTTGACTTTTCCGCTGAGATTGGGTAGCTGTTAGTCTAACTTCCCAACAGGCCCCACTTCCCTATCCCACCCAACCTGCTTCCAAATCACTCGCAGTCTCATGTCCATCACATGGGACTGCCGCTTTTCTCCACGCCGACCTTCTCTACACGTTACACCGACCGGGCGAAAAAGCGCACCTGTAGGTGTTGATCTCACAGAAATCCATGGGCTGCTTCAGCACCGAGCTGCTCAAGCGATCCTGAAACCGAGACTCGGGCGATCAGATCGAACGAGCTCTGGCAGCAGCCGTCGATGTCGATCGCGCCATTCGATCAGACGCAAAGCTCTGTTTTCTTCACTGGCCAGGCCTGCTTGGTGTCTTTCGTCATTTGGTGAGGAATCTGCAAAGGTCAAAGGTCCAAGCGCATCGCAATGGATGGGAGAAGCAGGTTCTTGGGTTCTGCCTGCCTTTCAAAGGGCCTTTCATGCATGGCTCCAGACAAGGGAGAACGCCTAACCCACCAGATTTCCATCTATATAAATGGTTATTCTAGGTGGTTTGTCAGGAGCTTCTCTAGACTCTAGACTTCGTGGCACACATGAAAAGCCATTGCTTGCTTGCAGCCGCCTTGGCGAAAAGCTTTGTGTGAAGCCCCTCCCTCTCTTTGGCGTACCTCATGTCCAAGTCAACCTCACAATAGAAATGCTTCCCATTGTGCTCCTTCGCCACTGCTGTGTGCTGTGTGGCGTCAAAGGTCGAAAGTGCCACCGGCCCTCCGTTTCTGCGCACTTGACGCTGAGGAGGAATTTCCCGGCATTGTTTCCACCAGTCACCTCACCGGTTTTCAAGCTCCGCGCTGGTGCAGGTGCAGCGAGCCGACTTCTTCAATCACGCGGGCCTTGGTGTCCTCGATCTTCAACGATGTCACCCGATTCGTTCTTTCTAGCGTACCTGCTGGCATGTCTGCAGAGCAACTAAAGTTGGGCCACATGTGACACGCGTTCCTGTGTGATTCAAGAACACATCAATAACGCCCCCAGTGGCATAGCACCTGCCCGATGAAAGGCCTCCGTCAGCCTAGAGAGCAGCGTCGGTTCTCCCCAACCGAGCATGGCTGAATGGAACCCCACCAAGGAACTTAGGCCTTAGGCTCTAGGCATTCCAAATGAGGGACACCTTCACAACATGTAACAAACCCCCCTCCTCTGCTCCGGTCACACCCGAACTCACCCGAACTCACCCAGGTCACAGCGTCCGTTTGCACCAAGCACCCGGCCATTTGGCCCCGAACTCGCCCAGCATCTGAGCGGTCCTGTGCCCGACACCGCTGCGCACGGCGGTTCTCCGGCCGTTCTCCGGCGGTGGTCTCATCCGCTCGGACCCTGAGGACCCGGGCCATGGAAACTCCAAGCCATAAAACCTCGAGCGATGTGACCAGCGAGTCGAAAGGAATGTTCGACCGATCACATGATGCTGGCGCCCCGTGGCGCTCTGCTTTTTCGTGCTCCCTGAGCTCCCTGCAGCCCGGCCGACTTCTTCTTGTGGTTTTCGCTCACGACTTCCAGGCCGATGAAGGTCCACACCACCGGTGGCTTCCGTCGCTCCACCTGGGGTCCAAACCAAGCAGCCTCTCACGGACCAATCACGATGTCAACACCGTGGAAACTGAGGGCCCTCACTTCGCAGCGCTCCTCTAATTGCTTGATCAACTCCTCAACAACCCCAAACTCGGACCACGGCTCGGAGCACGGCTCGAGTTCTGCGCAAACGGCACGGAGTTCTGCGCGGAATTCACTCTGTTCGCATCGAAGGGCCTCCTCTTCCTTCTTTGCGGCCTCCTGCTTTGCAAGCAATTCTTCCACCGACTGCTGCCCACCCTGGCGGCTTGGGGAGAGGAGCGTTGATCTTGTTTGATTGATTAATGTTGGATCCTGATTAGTAAAGGGGGGTCCCCCCCCCCTCAAACAAACAGGGGGACTTCTATAATAAACTATCACCAAAACAAATCTGGATTCCTGGTGAGGGATCTTTTGTAATTGATTGTTGTATTCATTTTCCTTTCATAGATTGTATTCAGCTTCCTTTCTCAGGTGCTTTGTAATTGTTCTCAGCAATCCTTTTGCTTTGCAGCCTCAGATCTTCAGCTCAAGAGAAGCCCCAAGCTTTCATTGGCCTCAGGAGCTAAGTAAAGGGAGATTCCATGTGCATTTTT